TTGTCTCTGATAAACCTGTTTTTTGCTGTTAAAACTTCAAATTGATTGAATGAGACTCATCCATATTATGGAGGGTCATCATCTCCCATGGAAAGTAAACTGATTGTAGATGGTTATGACATCTACAAAATACCTTTGTAACAACACCTAAATTTGTATTTGATTAAGTGAGTACTATATGGCCTAGCCAAGGTGGCACACCAATTGCACATAAATTTAACTATCACAGCACATATTACGTGATTTCATTTATACACAATGTCCAGAATGGATTCATCCATACAGAGAAAGGTTAGTGAATTGCCAGGGGCTGAGGAGAGTTAGGAGTGACCACTGATGGGTAATGGGTTTCTTTTAGGAATGATGAAAATATTTCAGAATCAGTAGTGATGGTTACACAATTCTGAATGTGCTAAAAGCCATTTAGTTGTACAGAATAAATGATGGATTTTATTGTATGTGAATTATGGCCATCCCTCAACATCTCAAGGGGAATTGGTTCCACAACCCCTTGGATACCAAAATCCAGGGGTATTCCTTTATGCGTATGGTGTGGTGTTTGCATATAACCTACACGTATTCTCTCATGTACGTTATACCATCTGTATTAGATGACTTCCAGTACCAAATACAGCGTAACATTCAGTACTAGAACCAGCAGTCATCTAGCCTGACTATCGATACACACCACACACACCAGCAGAAACATATCCTGTCTGTGGTTGGTGGAATCCCTGGACCTGGAACTGGAGGACCAGCTTCAACTCAAAGATATTTTTTAACCACGACCCGTAATGACCCAGCCCTTTTTTTGCCCCAGATATCTAGATTGTGACACAAACTATGCCTAAGAGAATATTTAAGTATTTCATAGGTATCTGCTTTTGAGTGCATGTTCAAGCTGCAAAATATAGATACAAAGAACTAGTTAATTATGATTCAGTTCATGTAAACAAAATTTAAGTCTCATCAAAGCAGTGCTGAAGTTGTTCAACTGCTCGTGTTGTAAATTGTTTCCTAGCAGATCGACGAGACAGACGTTTTATACATTTCATTGAAATCCTTCTGTGTTGGGGACTAGCAGATGGTGTAATGGTTAAATTGATGGACTCCCACATAGTTGCTGTTTGAGTTCTGGCTTAAATCTCACACAGTGCACTTGTGCGTATGTGCCCGAAAAGAGAAAGGAGAAGGGATTACGACATGGCCATCCCCCCTAGGGAACAAGTCTTGCTTTCTGTCTGTCTGGCTGTCTCTCTCGCTCTCGCTCTCTCTGGCTAGTGTGTGCACCCTATAGCAAAAATCCCTCTCTAAAAAAAAAGAAAACAAATCCTTCTGTGTCAGAGACAGGACAAGTACTGCAAACTCATTAGGTTACATGTAAGACCTAAGTATTAGAACTGCTTAAAAACAAAGCTGAGTTTGAAATTGGCACCTGAAATGATGGAAATAGGTATATACTTTGAAAAAAGCCATATGTGGTTTTTGTAATTCTTTTACAAGCAAATCTTTGTCTTTCTGTCTTTCCTGTACTTTTGTTTCCTAAGTCATTGTTTAGTGAGCAGCAATACATATAGGCCTAGCTATACTGTGATTTTAGATAGTATACACTTAAAAAAATTATATATATATGTATTTTTAAGAATTATTTTATTTATTATTATTATTTTTTAATTTGTTATAGGATGTGTGTGCTTACCAGACAGAGACAGGGAAAGTGAGAAAGTAAGCTGCTGGGTCTGGGACTTAAAACCATTGTTGGCCATGTGGAAGTCCAACGCCTCAACCACCATGCTAGCTGCAGGCTGGCCCCAAAATTTTAATATTACACAGTTACATACTTTTATGTGAATTGGGAGAATATAACTAGCCCTCCAGCTAGTCATTTTATGGATATCATTACTAAAGTAAAGTTGTAGTAATAGAACATGGTGTTTGGTCTACAATTTTTTTTGAAGAAATATATATTTAATTTTATTTATTATTAGTTTTAATTTGCTATAGATCACACGTGCTCACCAGAACAAGAGAGAGAAAACAAGCCTCCCAGTCTGGGATTTGAACCACGTTTGGCCATGTGGGAGTCCAGCACGTTAACCACCACACCACCTGTTGCCCCAGGTCCACAATTTTTAACAAATTAGTAAATAGACTAGATAGGCGAAGACCACAAAGGTAATGTGCAGATGACTTAAGCTTGGCAGCCACTGATTGAACTATGCTCACTGATACCATATTTTCCCTTTTTGGTAGCAATATTCAGTCAGGAGAAATGTTTTTGCTATTCATATTCCATTTTCTCTCTGTTAAGAGTCCTAGGTTAGGACAAAAGATGTCTACCCAGAGATCAGCTCAGTGCTGCGTTAGCTAGACTATGAACTAGCCCTAATTTAAATGAGTACCACTAATAATGTATATTCAAATTTTTCTTGGAGAAACCCTATATAAACTGAACTGGCAGGTAAATCTGAGCTGTATAGTTGGCAGGGGTAGGGAAACTGAATCTTGGTGACAAAAATTTAGCCTTTGGTCCAGCCACTGTGGCATAGCAGAAAGGAAGTAGCTTCTGACAGTGGCTGAGGGCCACTACATGGGAGGCCAGAGCGTTGAACCAGGGTTGGTTGGTTCCCAGCCAAATCTAAACAGGCTGGGCTTTGTCCTAGCTATCCAGGAGGCTTGGGGCAGAAGGACTGCGACACAGTAAGACCCTGTCAAAAATACCTGTTTTTCTCCCCCTACCTCCCTTACTGTACGTGCAGGAGTGCATTCTTCTTTCTTTCAAAAAAAGAAAGAAAGAAAATAAAACAGTTTTCTCTTCCAAATCTACCTAATCAGAAGGAGCAGATATGAGTTTTTGCAAGGCTTTAAACTTGAACCCTATTGATGGTAGTCTTTCTGCAATGAAAACGTGAGCTTTTTGAGGATAAGGTATGTGTTTGAAGTTCCTTCCTTGTAAACTGGGGCAGTAATATATATCTAGTTAGGTTAATAGTAGTACTTGCCATTCTATTAGGTCTTTCTGATCACTTTAACTGTTGGGCTCCTCTCCACTGTTGAGAGTCTGAAATTAAATTTACAGAGATATGCACTAATTAAGGGATCTTACTGTGATATAGCCAGGGTCATGGGGGGAAATATAGATGCTGTTTTGGGCTTGCTCTCTTGGCAGGGATGTGTCAGCATTGCTATCAGGCAGGATTTTCAGGTTGTGTTAGGGCCTGCTTCCTTGGCCAGCTACTTAGCTGGGAGACTAATTTAGTTGGAACTTCCAGCCTGTTTCAAAATACTCTGTATTTGTGAGCCTTATAGTATAGTAAGAACATTCTTGGCTTCCCTCCAAGAATGTTATACACATGTTGGGGATACTCTTTTGGTTCCTAAGTTGCTCACTTTGTATTTCTGAGCTTTATGGTAAGCACAGATCCTTTGACTTTCTTCCAAGAATGTCATACACACTTTGGGGATACTTTTTTGGCTCCTCAGTTGCTATTCTCAGGTTACTAGCACAGCAACAGGTTCATTCAGTACATAAGAATGTCATCTGCCTAAAAAAAAAAAGAGGAAGGGAAGGCACTTTAAACATCTTATTTTCTGACCCACAAAATTTGGAATGGTCATAGAGGTGAATTATTGCTGGTCTGAAGTACTAGTTCTGTGTTTAACATACTTCTATAATAGGTACTTCTTTTTTAAAAAATTTTTCATTCATTCATTCTTTATTTATTTCAAATGAGTTTTGCCAGAGAAAGAGAGTGAGAAAGCAAGCAGCCAGGTTCGGGACTCGACTGTGTGGGAAATCCAGCCCCTTAACCACCACGCCACCTGCCATCCCAATAACAGATACTTCCCAGATGGCAGTGTTTTTCCTTTCATAATCTGCATTAACATTATTCTAGTTTTTATCATATCCCAGTGCAATTACATAAAAACCGAAGGCTAGAGACTCTTCTCAGAGGAAAGGATATTAGTATTTTGGGGTAATATGGAAATCTGTCTGAAAGAAAGTATGAACATGAAACTACAGTTAAAGGTTATTGGGCATGGTGGTACTCACCCTATGGCAAAAAGTTAAAATTACAAAGAATTGGACCCCTCTCGTTGCTTATGTTTCTTTGAAATGCTGTTTTTGCTAGTTTTTTGCCACAGGGCGCATGTACCTGCCAGAGAGAAACAGACAGTGAGAGGGAAAGTGAGAAATCACCCTCCCAGGAGAGATGGCCACGCCACCATCCCTTCTCCATTCTCCAGATTTGGGGCATGCATGCACACATGCCCAGGTCCAGGACTTGAACTGCAGTTGGTCACATGGGAGTCCATTGTCTTTTTTTTTTTTTTTTTGTGAGAGTGTTTTTGGCTATAGGGCGCATGCGCTGGCCAGATAGAGAGAGACAGAGAGACAGAAAGCGAGAAATCACCCCCCAGGGGGATGGTCACGCCACAATCCCTTCTCCTACATTCTCCTCTCGGGATCTTGGGCACGCACACACACACGCCCAGTGTGAGTTCTAAGCCACTGGGTCCGGGACTTGAACCACGGTCGACTACATGCATCATCGCTTTTCTGACAACCCAACAGAAACTCTGCACCTAAAAACAGCCATGTAAAGTCTATATTTGTGTAACCTAAAACGGAGAATTAAGCTCTAATGTGGGTTTATATGGTCTCCCTTTTTTAAAAAAAAAATTTATTTATTTAATTTTATTCATTTATTTTAATTTTACCAGAGAGAGATACAAACAGAGAGAGAGAGAGAGAGGGAAAGTGAAAAAGCAAGCCACCAGGTCCAGTATTCGAACTGCAGTCGGCCCTGTGAGAGTGTCCAGCGCCTTAACCACCACGCCACCTGCTGGTCCCCTATATGATCTCTTAATTATTCAGAAAGCATTTTTTTTAGTTAACTCTTAAACCTCTCTAATGCTTTGCACGGTATCTTAAACTTAAATAGACAATGTATTTTTAAAATTAAATCACTTATAACTTTTACTGTTTTTATTTTTAGAAAAGATACAGTTTGGCAGTGGGACCTCCAAAAAAAGACCCAAAAGTTAAAGGTGTTCAATCAGCAGCAGTACAAGCTTTCCTCAGAAGAAAAGAAGAGGAAATCAGACGAAAAGGTATGTATCTATGACCTTATTCTCAGTTTTAAAGTCTTCCACCTTCACGTGTGTGTAGCTTATAATTAACCCTGCAAGGTCCAATGGCCATGCCACAATCTCTTTTCCATTCTCCTCTCAGGATTTTGGGCATGCATGCACATGCATCTGACCTATTTCAAGCCTCCAGGTTTAGGACTTAAACCACAGTCAATTCAGTACCTCAACTACTGTGCCACCTGCTGGCCCCAGAACTCCATTTTTTTAACTGTTTCTTTTGGTATTTTAGTTTTTTAGGGTTTTTTTTGGTTGTTGTTTTTTACTTTTTTTTTTAATAATTATTTATTTTATTCATTCATTCATTTATTATTTTATTTTGACCAGAGAGAGAGAAAGATTGAGAAAGCAAGCTGCCAGGTCCGGGACTCAAACCGTGGTCAGCCATGTGGGAGTGTACAGCACCTTAACCACCACGCCACCTGCTGGTCCCTACTTTTTTTTTTTTTTTGAGAGGTTTTCACTATAGGGCGCGTGCACTCACCAGACAGACAGAGAGAGACATAGAGACAGAAAGCGAGAAATCACCCCCCAGGGGGGATGGTCATGCCACAATCCCTTCTCCTCCATTCTCCTCTTGGGATCTTGGGCATGCACACACACGCGCCTGGCATGAGTTTTAAGCCACCAGGTCCAGGACGTAAACCGCGGTCGACTACGTGGGAGTCCAGCGACATAGCCATTACGCTAACTGCTGGTTCCCTGTTGTTGTTTTTTAAGTTAGAGAGCTATCTAAAAATGTTAAAATAGGGATACTTTTTGAAATCATTAAGCTGAAGAAATATAATAATTTTACTTCATCCTGATGACAAACTGAACCTTAATCAATTTTAAGTATTCATTGATTCCTAGCTAATAATTGCCAGATGAGTACTAATGTTCCTTGAACTTGGTGTACTTATTTTGTATGAACCTTTTTCTATATTTAAAACTGAAAAACAACCCACTTGCTTAGTCATATAGAAAAACCTATATGGGGCCCGCTCATTATTTAAAGATGACTCAGTTGATACTTGTTAGAATGACTTCCTCATTTGATTCCTAGATGTCTTCAGACTACAACTTGAACATACTGTATTTTGGCTACCTACTGATTCAGATGCTCGTACTGCTATCCTAAGACCTTGAAGTAATATATTCTTGTTTTGTTCTGTTCAGCTTTAGAGGAGAAAAGGAGAAAAGAAGATCTAGTGAAAAAGCGAATTGAGCTCAAACATGACAAGAAACCTCAGAAGAAAAGAAGAGGAAATCAGACGAAAAGGTATGTATCTATGACCTTATTCTCAGTTTTAAAGTCTTCCACCTTCACGTGTGTGTAGCTTATAATTAACCCTGCAAGGTCCAATGGCCATGCCACAATCTCTTTTCCATTCTCCTCTCAGGATTTTGGGCATGCATGCACATGCATCTGACCTATTTCAAGCCTCCAGGTTTAGGACTTAAACCACAGTCAATTCAGTACCTCAACTACTGTGCCACCTGCTGGCCCCAGAACTCCATTTTTTTAACTGTTTCTTTTGGTATTTTAGTTTTTTAGGGTTTTTT